TTATGGATTGTTCGTGTCCACCCGGACTGAGTTGCAACAAGGGACCCGTCTTCAGAACAAGTTCCATCTTTCAGGTTTATTTTATTTTTCAAAAATCGTTCCTATTATTTATTTACATTTATACATTTTCCTTCCTTTTTTTCCCTTCCAGCTCGATCTTTCTATGTGTCAGAAATAAACTTAACCATTAACTTTGACGTCATTAAATCGGGGATTATATCACACATTTTTAGAACTGTTGACTTTCCACAAATACTCCAGAAGTTTTGTAAATAAACATTAATTCTGAAGAATAAAAGAATACTGAAGTCTTTGTTTTAGTATATTTCTTATTGACACGAGTTTAAATAATAAAAACAATACTCTACAATTAATTCCGAATTCTGACACCGGTGTCTCTAACACTTGTTATGAGACACATCAACTAATTTTTCCTAGTAAATTTGTAATACAGATGTCGCTAGTGTACTTAACGGTATCGTAGAAAATAGCAATTTAGTTCAGAGTTCTATCACTGGTGTCGCTAGCATACACAGCAAGTATTCGAACGTTTACTCTGGAAGCGAAAATTTTAAAAAGTGCATCTTAAACGTGATAATCGAGCAACACAAAACATTTAATTAAGCGCCACACGTTGGCAGCAAACATTCTAAATGATTTTTCCATAATTATTCAAAGATGTATTATTTTAATTACAAAATTATCCACATTTTCGATCTATCGGAGACGTAATTAGGATATCTGCATCCAAATCCGAGTAGCCGATCAATAGTAAAGATAATAGGAAAGATAGCAATCTCTTCTTCTTTTGTTTACGAGAAAATTAACGAGATTAGATTATTGTTTGACTAACAATTGTCACTCTTATAATTACGACGCAGGCGGGTATCCAGGGAATTTTTGAAAGAGAAACTATGAATGGGTTCAATCACTTTCTCTGTTAACGTGCCAATAACTTTCTCAGATTAAAGGATAAGTAAAATATCCAACACATTAATTACTTTTTCGCTTTCCAACTTGGATATTGCTTCCATTCTCTGTTGTTTACTAAACAGCATTTTTGTTTTACAAACTATAACCATAGAAATCGTACAGTACAAGTGTGAAAAACACACACTACAGCGTCGTGCAACTACAATGCAGCATATTATTAAATATAAGCTTTTCTGTACCTTACTATAACATCAATTTTAATTATAATAATACCAAAAGACATAATTAAGGAAAAATGTAATTAATTTACAATTGATAAATTGTTTGATTTAAACTATCCAATAAAATATCTGGAAATTGAACGTATGTGACGAAACAATGTGAAACGTTTATTGATTAATCGAAAATTGATTTTATTGGATATTTCTAAATTTAAAATCAGATTAATGTAAATGAATAGCAATAAAATTCAATTTCTGTTAACCAATAAAAATTTAGGAATAGAATATTTTCTATGTCACAGTTTATAATGAAAAACTTCATTTACAGTCGACCCCCCTATAACACTGTTGATTATTCCGTTTTATATGAATTCCATCTTGTACGAGTCACTTGATTTTACAAATACGTATGCCGGGCTGTGAACGGCTAACGTTTTTGTAAAATCTAAGTGACTCGTACAACATGGAATTCATATAAAACGGAATAATCAACAGTGTTATAGGGGAGTCGACTGGTACCAGAATCTCTGGAGTGACAGCAAATCTATTGCCTTCTCCGTAGATTTTTAAAGAAGAAATGGATGTTCAGATATGTAAAAAGTGTATGCTAACGAGGTGAAAAATTTTAAAAAGTATACTGTAATTGTAATTTAAAAATGAAAATGAATTTAAGCTGTTTTGGCCATTTTTGTAAGGTTAAATTTAATATTTACAGACTTATACAGGAATGTCAAATTTTTAAATTACAGAAAACTGAGTATCTTATATACAAAAATATAAAGAAAAAATTAATTTGAAATTATTAAAATTATAAATAGGATGAAAACCTACAGGGAACACTCCAGTTCTCAGTAGATTTAAATTTCTAATGGAACCGTATACAACTGTCAAACTCTCTAAAGATTTACCAAAATTTGCATCTCTTAATGGAATTTTTACACTAGAATTTTTTAGAATATCAATGCTTTTGTTTTGATGGATGAATTATTTAGAGAAATGTGAAGAAAAATTTATAAAGCTCTGTTTATGTTATTCCTTTTCTGAAAAAAAATAGTTTTTTGAAACACTGTGAATATTCTATTATTATTTTATATATAAAAGACAACTTTGCTTTCTGATAGAATATTTGATTTGTCCACAATATTCACTGCCAGTTTTTCATAAAGAGCATCACTATGTTGTTACACTTCAGAGATCGTATTTTTTAAACTGGTTTTTCATCTAATCTGGTTTTTAATAATAAAATCTTCATCTGCTTGATATTAAAATATATACCATATATTGTTAAGTTTAACTTAAATAGTAATACTTTTTGAAAATGGCATAATTTTTATAACCTGGATTATCTTAAGTAAATGAAAAATTTACTTGTGAGGTATAGACTTGGCAATACTGTTTTTGTTTTGCTCTGTGAAGTGTTACAAGAAACAAATTCATATTCAAGATTTATGTGAAGAATTACATTTGAAATTCTAATTAATTCATCAGCAAGTGGTGAGTTGAACGGGTGTCGTGTAGATTTGACATTGCCTATCCGATAAACTTTGTTTGATCACCCTTATGCATTTATTTTTTAAACTGTTTCTGCCATGCATGTACTGAATACTAGAGAGTCTTTTTTGTATAAATCACAAATTGGTTTTGGCCCATACTAAGAAAACAGAGTGATAAAGAATATCAAACATCCAAATGTGAACTATAGAAATTTGTGGATCCAATTCAGACTAATTATTTATAGTAGTAGCCTGAAGTCTTAAGTGGTTTAATGTTAAATTTATAAGCTGTTTAATGTCATTTTCAAAAATCTTTATACCAATCAATGCCCACATTTATGTTGCTGGCATTGTCATGAAATTTACTTGTACGTTTTTCACAAATTTGTTGAATGAATACAGTGCAGAAACATTCTTATATTCAAAATGTTTGTATAATTTTATAAACAAAGCAAAAGAAATAAAGTAAAAAAGAGACAGTATGATATTGTTTTAATGTCACGCAGTCGATGACTGCCAGAATAGGCACATTAGAAGGAAAGTACATTTTACAATTAAATTTTCATTTTTCTCACAACCATACTTTTCCCAAAATAATAATTACATTTGACTGATAAATAATATAAAATGTCCGTTATCGTCGAACGTCGACATGTACGAGAGCGAAATTATATTCGTCTTTGAGCTGGACAGCTACTGTACAAGTTATCTTTTGACTACGATACAATGAGATATCGCGAACGGTACAATGTCTGATTCTGCGTGACGTATTTGTGACCGGAATTGTTTCTCCGATGCTGCGGCCATTTGCATAAATTACTGCTGTTATCGAGTATAGCTTAGTTGGATTTGAAATATGCTCTAAAGCACGGCATGATATTTTTGTATTTGTACATAATGTACAATACCAACATCAGATTTATCATTTATCATTTTTTTAGGTTTCACTCTTTGTTGCAATTAATATACACTTATACTGAAAAATTACATAATGCATGCGAACACTACACTTATAGGGAAAAATGTAATTCCACCTTTTCGAAACGACCTAAAAATTACAAATATGTACAAAATGAGGAAGGAAAAAAGCAGTTATTTCATTTATCCTTAGTGATTATGTATAAAATCTCAAAATTTAGACTGTACAAATCAAATTATATGTTATTTAAATAAATTCAAATCAGAAAATGAAAAAATTGATAAAGTGCAATCTACTTCTAAAACAAATGATTCCGTTTAAGTTTTTCATCAACTGAACTATCGAAAATTTCATAAAAACAAAACTTGAAGTCGGTAATAAGCCTATAGATATTTCTTCTACTTCAACCACAAGTAAAAAAATAAAAGCAAGAATTCCAGAGATAAATACAATTTGAAAATATCAAAATACTGCTAGATACTATCATAATTGTTTCTTAGAATGAAAATGAATCTCATACAATTGAAGAAAATAAATTTCTTCCCCCTTTTCTTAATTTTAACAACAGCTTCAACAACAGATATGATCAACTTACGATACATCAAAAATATATTCTATGATGGAATGAGACATAACGGAAGTCAAAATGTGTTTGGCCACACTTGCCATTAACATGTGCTATATAATATTCATGTATCTTGTGAGAATATATATACATACTCTTCGTGCAAAAAGGACGTACGTTTTCTATTGGAGCTTCATACTCGACAATAGAATTTTAAAACATACGATATCCGTCGTCTTCGATATTTGATCGAAAAATCAAAAATAAATAAAATTAATTAACGATTATTGAGATGCGAAGCAAGTAATGCTAATACGAAGATTCAGTTTTTCATACATATTTTGGCCTTAGTTTTTGCCTTCTGGCCATTATTAAAATCATCAATTCATAGATATTATATCCATTAATTAAATCATAACATCTAAAAATATCTCAAAATAACTTTCCTTTAATTTTTTTTGGATGTTTTTTGAAGTTTTGAATAATGTTTATGAATAATACAACTAAATTCAATTTGTAAAAGAAAATTAATGGAAAAAAAACAGACATAGTGATTGTAAAGTTTCAAAATATGGCTTTGATTTAAATATATTTTAAAGAAAAATATTGCTCTAAGAGCTTAGCTGCATTTTGATGCCAAAGCTTAAAATAGAGAAAAATCAAATTAATATATAAAATAAAAAATTTATGACAAACCTTCAAATCTCAAATAGTCTAACAAACAATATCTCCATTAAATTTCTTCTACAAGATTAATCATACCGCTGAAAATTCGAACTTAAGAAGAGATAAAAATACAAACAAGCCTCATAGAGACAAGATAGTTGAAACCATCAGAGGATACACGGGTCACAGAAAATTCTCTTCAGATTTCCCCGTTTAAAATGCTCAACAATAGCTTCCGAATATAGAAAATGCAAACGTAGGATCGCTTTTACACTTGCACGTCAGACGATAATTTTGTCGGGGTTGAAGGATCGAGTCCCATCGTCTGACAGACCCATCCGGCAAAGTCTATCTCTTCAGTTTCGGATCGTTTGACGAAAGGATGATTCTACAAGAAATGAATAGCCTTAAGTATTTTAATTAAGAATCCCGAATAATTTAAATTAAGCACATTTACCATGAGTGTTTTTAAGTCTGCACGTTCTGCTGGATTTTTCTTCAGGCTAGTAAAAATATAAAACAGTTTCAAATATTTGTAAATGAATGTATAAATCTTGTGAAATTTACTTAGTTATTACTTATCATTTAGTGATAATATAAAAATCAAAAATACATTGCAATATACCATGTGATTCATAATTGAAGTACATAAGTTAATGCTGTTTAGAGAAATATATGGCAGTCCAAATGCAACCAAATCCAACTAACATTTCAGAACATGCAGAAGATTTTTTCCATAAAAAAAAGAAAAATAGTACCAAAACTCACCACAATGGCACTTTTGGTACTGTAAGTAAAGAAAAAGCATATATGCATGTGTTGCAGCCAAGTTTTGGATATACAGTATTGAAAAAATAAAAGTGGCTCCTACTGTTAAATGTTGAATCAGCTACACTTACCATCATAGTTTGCTAGAATGAGCATTTCTTGTGAAGTAGTTTTGAAGCTAGTTTATAGAATATGACTAATGCTGACATTTTGTTGCTCAAAACTGCATTTGTCTTATTTGAACAAACTTGCAACTAGGTGACCTTGGTTCGACAAGTTGCAACCTTGTTGAAGAAAATCTAATTTGTCAGATTTTTCAATCATTGTCACATCATCAAACTAATCAATGATGAAATCAAAATCATGTTCCCATCACTTCAGAGAAATACATGATCTCATGTCTGCTCAAAATGTATTCCATTGCATTGTGTAAACATCTGAAACAACAAACCTTGTCTGTATGTTTTTTTGGTGTGAGAAAATGTCAGTAGTCATCATATTGTGGTTTACACAATAAGACAACTTCATGAAAACAGCAGCAATGATGCAACTGCACTTTGAGAATTACACCATCATAAAACTTTATGCCAAAGACCATTGACTCCCCAAGCTCAAACCAATCAAGGGCACAAACCTTACATTTCATAAGTTGTTGATGTTACCACAACTGTTGTTAAATAGTCAATGAATAATGTTATGGACTAGTAGTGCAGTATCAAAGCAGTTGGATGTATCCTGTAGTACAGTGTGAAAGGTACTGATAAAGTTAGTGCATTATTATCCAACTAAGTTCATCCAAAACCAGAAGTTGCTTGTTGCCAACAGCAAAACCTGACTGACCTTTGTATTAACCTTCCTTGCCAGAATGGAAGTAGATGTGCTGTGACCACGAGTGATTCTGTGGAGCAGATGCACATTTTCATCTCAATGAAACAATGAACACTGTCACATTAGGCCAAAAAAAAAAAAACATTAATATTTTCCAGTAAATTCCACAATTCTAATGCACTTGCCTAAAGTTAGTCTGAGGAGAATTCATAATCCCTTTTATCTTCAGATCATTCTTCTACAAAGAAGCTAGTCCAAATGGGCCTGAGACATGCTTTATTACAGCCCATTGGTCCATGCAGACCAGAGATATTGAGAGATGCTTGACAATTTTGTTATAGATAGTATTATAGAAACAGTATAGCATCACTTTCTCTTTGAATTGTTTTTAAAGAGACATATATGATATTCATTTGCAGAACAGAATTAATTGGCATCAACCCATATAAAAAATGCTATAAACAAAAAATAATAGGACTACTTACGAACTGCACCATTTAGGCCGCCATTGCTTAAGCTTGCTTCCATCGTGGAGTATCACATTAGATGGCATATGCATACAAAATGTGTCACTCAGTCACATGACAACCTCAAAGTGTAACTCACATCAGCCACATGATATATCTGATGTACCACTTTTTGGACTCCAAAGAAACCATAAACCACAGTTTGATAAACATTGCATTTGTTATGTTTCCAGTTATAATGCTGGCTAACACAAAATATTAACTCCATAAAAAACACAGCAAATAAATTATCAAATTACTTGTGTAGCAGCTTTAAAACATTTCTAGAAAATTACTCTTTAAAAAAAAGATTACTTCCTATTCTAAAATAGGAAATATTAACTTTTTAAGATTGTATATGTTTTTCTGTAATGATTCTACAATGCAGAATAAGATTATTCTTCAGCATTTTAATCTTGCATTATTTAATGACATTATTGCATATATTATTTTAATTCTTTTTAATTAAAATTTTTGAATTGGTACACATATGACAAACCTTCAAATCTCAAATAGTCTAACAAACAATATCTCCATTAAATTTCTTCTACAAGATTAATCATACCGCTGAAAATTCGAACTTAAGAANAATTAGTATATTAGTATATCGTTAACTTACTTCGCGTTGAATTTTTATTGATGTTAAGCCTAACAAATTTTTTTAAAATAATAATCATCATTATTAAATCTTAAATTGGTGGGTTTTGTTGTAAAATGTTAGCCAGCAGTATAACTAGAACAATGTTTATGATAACAAATGCAATGTTTATCAAACTGTGGTCTGCAGTCTCTTTGGAGTCTGAAAAATTCTTGGGAAATATGTCATAGATGTCACATGGCAGACATAAGTGACATTTTGAGATAGTCACGTGACCAAGTGACATCCAAGCAGAATCACATGACATATTTTGTACACATCCACTATCCAACATGATACAGTAAGACCTCTATTAGTGCTTCCTTGATTAATTAATGCTGATTCGATATAACATGGTCTGCTTGAAACCTGAGAAAAGCTCAAAATTTACGCTGATTCAAATTATCATGGCATTTCATTGATTCGTATATAATACGATCATTCCCAAACACAAACCATCAGCAAAAGGTGGCAATTTGTCGTAGCACTGTACTTTCCTTAAATCTGTTTGTTCAGTGCAATTTTGGAAAAAATATAACATCATGGCTACCAAAGAGAATATCGACTTCATGTGGCAAGGATTAACTAATAAATGCATAAACAGAGAGTGAAAGAAGGTCTGGCTGGAGGTATATAAGAATTCTCAATGAGAAGAGCCTATCATTGACCAAATTGTCAACCTAATCAATACCACTAGATTAGAAGATGTAAACAAGCAGGGTATTGAGGAGTTACCGCAGATTTCTGGTGAGTCTCTTACCAACGACGACCTTCAAGAACTGGCAGAACAAGGAATTCATGTAGAACTTGAAAATAGTGATTCTGAAAGCAAAAAGCCCAAAGAATTTCTCTACAGATTTCCTTAGTAAAAGTTTGCTAATGATAATCGAAATTGCTGATCAAATTGTAGTGAATTATCCAGATTTTGAAAGGAGTGCAAAAACAAGATGAGGCATTTTCAATGTGACCTCCTGCCATCGACATTTACTTAACGAAAGAAGAAAAAAAAAGCAACAAATGACAATAGACAACTTCATCAAAAAAAATCAAGAATTTCAGAAGAGCCAGAACCTTCATCACAAAATATTAACTTAAACATATGCACACAGAAATGTAATGTTTTATTTAACATATATTATTATACAAATTAATATAAATATAACTTAAAATTAAAAAAAAAAAATCTGTTTATTTTTGGTTGTGTGTTCCCCTTTCTCTATTTACACTGTGTTAAAATGACCTCATTTAACACAGTGTAAATTTTCATTTAGCACTTTGTCATCTAGGAACATATCCCCTGCACCAAGTGGGGTCTTATTGTACTCTGCAACAGAAACAAGCTTAAGCAATGGCAGCCTGAATACTGCAGTTGATAAGTAGTCCTATCATTTTTTGTTTATAAAGCCAAACAACCATCAGATTACATCGGGCTACTTTTCCGCAATTACATTTAATTAATTACTAAATAATTTGTCACTAGAGGAAAGCATTAAGCTCCATCTCTTATTNAAGTGCTATTTCTTATTAAATTTAATAATTGTAAATTAATATTTACAGTATTAAATAATTTAGAATATTCTGAAAGAAAAAAATTGGTCTGAAGCGAGACTCAAATCAGCAACTCCCACTTACTGTGCAGATATATTGCTAGTTATGCTACCAGAACCTCCAGTCCAATCTCCTCTTTCAGACATAATTAAATCGGACTGGAGGTTCAGGTAGCATAACTGGCAACACATCTGAATGGTAAGTGGGAGTTAAGGGTTTGAGTCCCACTTTGGACCAATTGTTTTCTTTCAGAATATTCCAAATTATTTAGTAATTAATTAAATATAATTATGGAAAAGTAGCCCAATGTAATCTGGCTTTACAAATTTATCGGGTTTCGTGATATTTGTTTTTATTTATAATGTTTTTTGTATAGGTTGACTCCAAATAATTCTGTTTCTTTTTTGCAAATAACTATCATATATGTCTCTTTAAAACAAAAATTGACAGAAAACAAAGCTATATTGCTTTTATAGTATAATAACAATGTCTTTAATTGACTGCTTTCATACAAGTTAGTGTACACATTAAAAACAGTGCACAGCAATTTTATAACATTTCACTGATAATATAGTGATTAGTTGTGCATTTCCTACTATATGACCATCTTCTAATAATTTCGAAGAAATGAAGCTGTACAGACCTGATGTTTTAAATAGATTCTCATTTAATAGAAAAATATATTTTATTACATATGCGTTGATTATTATTATAATGAACTGGTTATCACATACGTAAAACTATTAATGCCTTATATATCCCTAAATTACAGACCCTGGTGTTAATAGCATTTAGAGTTTAGAACCATTATCATCAGGGGCCAAAATGCATTTTAGGGGTATATAAGGCATTAATAGTTTTGTGTGTGTGATAACTCTTTCATTATAATAAAATTCTATGCATGTGTAATAAAGTATATTTTTGTATTAAATATCTTAAAAAAAGGAAATAAAGGCTCAGTGTTAACTGTAATGTATAATAAAGATTTCCATTTATTTAATGTCTCTCATTAACAACTCATTGTATTGTATGAGTTTCATTTTAAAATAAATAATTATGTAATTTAAAGCTTCATTTACTTGCATTTTTACACATCAAATTTAATATATCCACAACTTTGACTTGCAACATCTTCACTGACGAGTCAATTTGTAACTCACCAAAATTTGACATCGCAACAATCAGTACGCGGTGTCTTATGCGAGAATATGGAATT